AACTGCTACTACTACTACTACTACTACTACTACTACTACTACCACTAACTACTAACTACTAACTACTAACTACTAACTACTAACTACTAACTACTAACTACTAACTACTAACTACTAACTACTAACTGCTAACTGCTACTACTACTACTACTACTACTACTACTGCTACTACTACTACTACTACTACTACTACTACTACTACAACTACCAGTAATTGCTTCATGTCTAAGGTACATCACACTGCGCGATAACAGTCTGGGCAGGACTGCAGCCAATGCGGCACGACACTCCCTTTGATGCAGCGCTGCCTGCCATGTCTCCCTGTTTTGTTGGAGCCACTCGCATGCTCCCTGCCAGCAGGCACCCCACCACTCCTTCGGGCGTGACATCGCTAAACCCGAGAGTCTACAGTACCTTAAATACTACCCTGGGGGCCACTCCCACCTATAACAGACAGTAGATTTTTTGCCGCTGCGCAGGGAGACCCATGGAGACCCACAACAGGGTGCCCAAACGAAGATGCCCGCAGTCTTGCACTGGGGCAAACAGCGGGTCGAGTTTATCGAGATTGGTCAAACACAGCCCGATCTTCTCCCCTCGTCAGCCAACCTCTGCCGAGCCGAAAAGTAAACTGGGAAACCCTGAAAATCCCAATAAGGAGCGCCGCAACTTGGCATAGTTTTCAACGGTCCAAACCCTCCAGGCGGCTGATTCCAGGAGCCGGGCCCTTGAGACCTTTTGGCCATCTTAGCTTTTTTATGCTGCCGGGCAAGCACCCCCCAAAATAGGGGGGCCTTAATAATTAGAATAGGGTTTTGGGGTATATGATTATATTTTTAATAAGGAGCCCCCAAAGTAGTATAGGTTCATTATTAAGGCCCCTATCTTACACTCAAGGCCATGGGCGGCGAGGGCCGGCGCGGCCCGGTGCACGAGCCACGCCTCCCCAAAGCAGAAGCCCCGACACAGCCAGAGATAAGGAAGCCACGTTATGTACTATAGATCCCTACATGTATTATGGTAACTTGAATATCATGTACTATAGATCCCTCTTATGGTAACTTGAACAATATTTGCTTTTGTTCCCTATTATCCCGATTATGGTAACTGAAATAGTATTTACTATGTTTCCCTATTCAGGTAACTTGAACATGATTTACTGTAGATCCCTACTATGGTAACTTGAAAATTATTTACTATAGATCCCTATTATGATAACTTGAATATTATTTACTATAGACCCCTATTATGGTAACTTGAATATTAGGTTATTCTGTACTATACGCGTGAGTGTGGGAGGGCTTGCTGTTACGTGGTGGTGCTGCAGCAGTGGAAGTTATGAAGCACATAACTCTCGAGTGCTCGGTGCTCTGCGAAAAGTTGCAATGGCCCGACTGTGGTGGGCCATCCCACGCATGCACCCACTCGATGCCGTTAAAGGCGGCGCGACCATTTTGTTCCAATTGGGCCTGGGCCCTAAACCCTAGACCCTAAACATGTCGGCCACATGAGAAGTTGTTGGAAGCCTTGGGCAGCACAGTGTCAGCAGGGCAGGGCATGCAGTTCCTCTGCTGGTCTCTTGTTAAGGGATTCAGTTTAAGTTAC